AAAAGTACAGAAGAGAAATTTGTTGAAGTATCGGTATAGAAAGAACTCGGAGATCGAGTCTCCCGTGAAATCGACGGAGCTCGCGATTAATCTAACCCGAACCGGTGCGAATTGGAGGATCCTTCGCGGGTTCGCGAATCCTTTCCCGATTCAACGTCCGCTCGAAGCGTTCTCCAGGAAAGCGGTCGAGTGGACGAGCGACAGTAGAAATCATGTATGTTAACCGTGCGTACACGTGGTCACGATGAAGAAACGATGATGACGATTCGATGCGAGCCCGGCTCCTCCACTTTGGTTAAAGTAGCGCGATGTATGCGACGTATGTCTCCGGTGTTAATTAAACATTGGCATTTTTGCGTCTCGTGATTTTGCACACGAGACCGACTTACGAGACGGTGTGAGACGCCATTTCGTGGCCGTCCGCATAGAGATTTTGCACCTGGCTATAGTCTGTCCATTCGTGCGAGACGTAAAAAGTCGCCGTGATCGGGCAGCCGTTTGGATTCTTACGGCCGTTTTCGAACAGTTCGCTGTACAGGGGTTTGTTAAGATCGTTTACGGCGTCGTCGAAAGTGAGCAGAACGATCTGCGGCGTCTGCTCGTTCGGAATACCACCTGTGCGTCACAGTTGCATTATAGTAGCACACGCGATACGATCGGCCGAGGCTGTGTCATTCCTCGGTGAAACCGAGAAATATTATTTCTATAATATATGCTTAATGCGATCACGCCTTTCTAAAAATGGAAGCGCGATACCGTAATCGCGATTTCTACGGGGGATTAACGGGATATAAATTAAAAAACGATCACTCCCTTCGAGATAGCGATTATCTCCGAGATTCGTTAACGCGCGATCTCGTCGGTATTTTAATATCCCTTTTTTCGTTACCAATTTTTAATAATTGTAAATGTGCCATCTAAAATTAACGCTCCCGTTTTAAGCTCCCGTGATTTCCAATCATAAAATTTGTATAGACCTAGCTTGAAAGTTGAATTAGCCAATAGTCTTCCTCGGGCGATAATTTGCTCGCGAGAACTTCGTAAGGCAACGGCTCTTCGGAGGTTTTTTTTTTTTCCTAGACATTAAAAATTTCGAAGAAATCTGAATTAAAAGTTCCAGCGGCGATCGTAATCGCGCGCGCTCCCGTTATCCTCGAGTCGCTAAAGTAAGAAAGAAGTTCTCCAGAAGTTATTTCTTCGGGCGAAAGTAAAGCGACATTCAATGATCCGCGCAACGATACCGAAATTTTACGGGCCGCGTTTTACGGGCCGGTAAATAAAGTAATCGAGCGTCGCTTGAGCGTCGCCCGACATGCTCCTTCCGACAATGCAAATTGCTTTCAATTTCGAAGGGCGACGCACGCCGCGAGCGTACACATATATATATATATATATATATATATATATATATATATATATATCGGGCGTAGATCTGTTTCACTTTCGAGCGTACTATGTAACATTAAAGGTACGTACGTATGTAACATTAGAGAATCGGAGAAAGTCACGGCGAGGCCGTCTAAACCGTTCGTCAAACTTAACATTCGTGGCGCGCGACCGCCTTGCATAATCCGTGGATTTTTCGCCTGACATTTCGCCGCCTCGTTACGCCCCGGTCCGATTCCCCCCCCCTCCTCCCCCTCACCGCGGTTGATTCGATCAACGGAAGGCACGAAATTCGTAGGCGACCTTCGAGAGAGGTCTGCTTTCCAGGACGAGACGTCCCGCTTCCTCGTTTACATTCAGTCGACACAGTCGCCCGGGCTTTCGGCACGCGGAATGCAAACTTTTCCGTCTCATATTTCTCTCGAGCTCGCAGAACGTCATTTCCGGTCTACTTAGATTAATCAAATTAATCATTTTTTTTTTTTTTTCGAAAACAAGATTTATAAACTAGTTCGTGGCATCCGTTGTGAGTGTATCTATAAATTTCTCGCGGTGATTCTTTTGCTTTTTTTTTTTTAATTTATTTCGCTCTTCGGATCAATTCCACGTTCTCTCCCAGATACAAAGTTATCTCGAATTATTACCAAAGATAAAGGCGTTTCCAGGGAGACTCCAACGCGTTGTTTTCACGATCAAATCTAATTATCATCGATTATTTCGCAAAATTACCTGGTATATCGGCGCCACCGCAGCTGCAATCCGGAAGCAAGCAGACGTCTCTGCGGCATTTCGCCGCCGGTTTGTCCACCTGAGGCGTCGGGTAGATCGGCGCTGGTCTCACCGGGGGATACCGATAGATGTCAACGAATTCCTGCGCCTTCGAGACTATCTCGGTGGACGGCTTTAACGTTGGTCGCGATCGCCTGGAAACGATTAATCGGAGATGATTAAAAGGGAACCCATCGGATCGATACGTTCGGCATGTTGTAAGGAATTCACCGAGAGCAAGTGATCTCAGGTATTTGCGGTATCATCATGAAACTCTCGCTTATTTATGAGTCGCATTATATATACATGAGCTAAATCATGCCCCGTTGAAGAAAGTGAATTGACAATGAACTTACGGCGGTGCAGTGCCCCGGTGGATCTGCTGCGGCCGACCTCGGCTGGAAAACGAAGAGGAGGAGTAAAATTGGAGCGTAAGATAAGATCCGAGGATTTCCGGCGGCGGTGAATAAGGAAAATGCTACGTTTACTACGTCGCGCGGAGAAAGCGAGGAACTTAGTTTTACTGAGAGCCGGGCGAAATCGGGTCTCGGCCGACGGAAATCGGCACAGGGCCGTCCTTTTCGTGCCTCGCGCCACGCGCAAATCCGGTGTAACGATTAAGAAAATCGTCCGAGCGAATTCTATGCGAGTCAAAAGATACTCGAACTCGTCCTCGAAATCGCGTGGAACAGCTCGACAAATATTCGGAACGCGACAAAGTTGGCGAGGCTGCTTTGTAAAATGCACTCGTCACGAAGGAGATTCAAATAAAAAAAAAATAAATAAATAAATAAATCTTCCTTCGTACTATTTCATGTCGACGCGCAGTTCTCTGACATCTGTTCGTTCTTTGTAGACATAGAACTAATGCCATTTAAGCTTATTGTTGGTTATAAATTCAAACAGGTACCTCGGTGCATTGACGGTGTAAGGTCTGCTGCTCGTGCTGGGGGTCTGTGTGCTCGTGGTCAGCGGTATAAAAGTATCCACGATGACATTCGGCGTTGTTACGTGGACCACGGGATGGCTGAGCACGTTCGTTCTGCACTCGCAAATAAATTAATCGAGTCGCGATGTCGCGTAATTGCACGCTTCTATCGCCTCCGACATACGTCCGAGATCCGTCCTGGATGAAAACCGGCAGGACGGGTACTCTCGAACTGATACGGCGTGCTCTCGCACGCGGCAATACTATTTTTAAATGGTGATAGACACGACAACCTCGAGAGCGATGGCGTGAAAACATCGACACTTTTAGATAATAAATCGCGACGAGATCTGCGTGACGAGAGAGAGAGAGAGAGAGAGAGAGAGAGAGAGAGAGAGAGAGAGAGAGAGAG